GCTAGGTTTGTTACTTTTAATGTCCATTCTTGAATAGTAGGCAAGTCTTCCTTCTTCCAGTATTGCGCCACCAACAGTCTTGCTGCCGTTATTAAATGCAAAATCAGGTTACTCTACAACTGTAGAATCAGTAATTATACCTAACAAAAATAACTGAGGGGTAAACTTTATCCAGAAAATATAATAGAGTTTGATCCCACCTATTAGGGGAAGGGGGCTCTGCAGGCCACTAAAAGTATGTTAAGAGCCACAAGTGGCCACGTGGCCTATATTTTATTCTTTGGGTGATCTTCATGTTCTCAATTACTGCTATTATTAAACTATTGTTCTGACTACCCATGTATCTCACCTGCCCCCTTTTTATTTTCTCAAAGTATTACAAAACATTATTTTGGAGTTACCATGTGAAATATATAAGACAAGTCAATGGAGATAAATACTGTTTGCTGAGAGCTGTGTTATTCCAGATATTCAGCCAAGGTCTTCCTCTCCCATCGTGGACTAAGGCAACAGATATACTAAAGGTAAATTGCAAAATAAAAAGATTTTTTGGGAATGTTTAGGGTTTTTTAAGGCATTTTATAAAAAAGTGGAGATAAGTTTGAGTTCAAGTATAGCAGAGCTGTGTTAATGTAACTTACCTCCCAATTTTTCAGAAAAAAACACCCCTTGATATAATAAACTGGAAGCAACTTGTTTGGAAGTAAATATGCTCTTCGAAATATTAGGATGAACAGTCGGAGGGGAATCATATTTGTTATCCCTATGCTTGTAGCTTTCACCTACAGGTAGTCCTCAACTTATGACTGGTTGCTTAATGAATATTCAAAGTTGCAACAGACTCAAAACGCAGTTATGACCCATCCTTGAAATTACCAGCGATGCACCACCTCTACAATCACATGATCAAATTTCAGGTGCTTAGTGACTGGCTCACATTTATTACAAATTGCAGTATCTCGTGGTCACGATTGTGTTTTGCAGTGTTTGCTGTTTCCCAGCCCAAAACACCACTTGGATAGGCTGGTTTCAGACTTACAACCATGTAATTCACTCAATAACATGATAACCTTACTGATTGTGGTGACTCATTTAACATCCACTGTAAAAAAAAAGGCCGTACAATTGAGTGCAGTTGTTTGTGTACTTATGACCAAAATTCCAGGCTCAATTGTAGTATTAGACTAAAAAGTAGTATTAGACTAAATCAAGGAATTTCTGTAGATGATTCAGGGTATCCTAATTTCCTGTTGAACTTCTCCACTGAAGAATCAGCCATACTCTTCTTTTTTTCAGCTCCCTGAAAAACTTCTTTATTCACAAGGATGTAATTGGATCCAACAGTACAGCTTCGGATCACAACGGTATACAGGTTCAAATATACTAGGAAAATTACGTAAATGTATTGAAGCATTAAAAGGACAGGTAAGTGAGCAGATATGGGTAAATAAAAATCTAAAGCTTACTGGTGCTATAACTATTATAAGTTAGTAAATTATTAGGAGTAATTTTCCATTAGCATAAGTACCTAAAACTCAGGTTGACTAATCAATATATTGTTGTGGAAGCATATAAATATTAAATGCTGATTTTAAAAAAAATATGTTTGATAATATGCTTTAGAGCATATTTTACAATTATTTTACTTTATAATTTCTTGCATATTTCTGTAATAGCAATAGCAATAGTTAGACTTATATACCGCTTCATAGGGCTTTCAGCCCTCTCTAAGCAGTTTACAGAGTCAGCATATCGCCCCCAACAAC